CTTCCCGTGTACCCGAGGGAAGAACCTTTAAAGGTGTCGTAGACCTGAAGAATCGCTCTTTAAGCATTTCGAGGCATCTGAACGCTATTTCAAATCTCCGGAACCTGTTTAGGGGGTTCGGTAAAGAGCCCTTTTTTTTAGAGTGTAGAAATATCAGGACAAGGTTACTGGCAAAATTCAATAAATGATGAAAACGATATAGGATTAGAGGTGGCACATTTAAGTTGATTTGAAGTGAAGTTGATGAATCAACTTAACTTAAAATTGAAAAGTTGAATTCAACTCGAATCAACTTTCAACTTTATAGAGCAAGGAGTTTTTGATGGCTTCTTCTGAGAAATAGGATCTTGCCACTGGTATTACTAATAAACTATCGGACAAAATCAAGTCAATAATAAATATCATGTGATTGAGACACAATTCTGGATGTATTTAAATTATTTTTTGATACATTTTGGCAGAATCTTACAAGACACCTTCAAAAAGTGTTAATTCTGACTCAGTAACCTCTATTTATCTTTTATAAATATAAATTTCGAGTATTGTCCTATAATTAGTATGTATGACAAATTTCAGTAAAACCTATCACTCAACTTCAATACCGAGGCACTGGAGATGGTGATCTCCTAGTGGTGAACATATTGATAAGTGCATTCAGGTTTAATATCAAGCTAGGATTAAAAAGTTCGAGTTGATTTGGAGTTAAGTTGATTGATCAACTTTCAACTTTTCAACTTAACTTAAATGTCACACCCCTATGTGGGATTGAACAATATAGGACAGGGGTATACACTTGAAATATAGACAATGACGTATCAGGAAAGTGATATAATTGGAAAGAAAGAATGGCTGACCGTACACTTAAAATGGTGGAGTGCGACGGAGTGCGCTTTACTGCGCGGAGTGGCTCGAGTGGCTGAAGTGCTCTGCCACCCTCTTGATATGAGGCCAAGTTGCGATTTGGCTGAGATATTTAAGTTTCACTCAAATTTTCCTCTAGGACTCCCATTTTCCAGCAAAATCGTATTTCCGAGCTTTTACCTCAAACTTTGCCTACATAAAGCTCTCAATTAGATTAGCTTGTAAAAAACGTCAGAATTTTTGGACATAGTACCACCGAGATATGCATTTTCTCAAATATAACAGCTTCTCCAGGACGTGTGGAGTGCGGAGATTAAGATTTGAGGTGTGAATTTCCTCTTCATCCAAACCCGCACATCCCACACACTTCACACCCTCAATCAATCGTCGTTTACAGAGTGTAAAAGAGTGGAGTTTGCGAACAAAGAAAATGGAACAATAATAGATCGTAGACAGAAAACATTGTAATGAATAACTTTAAATTAAACAAGCATTGTCTCTATGTTTTCTCTGCCACTCTCTTATTTTATCATTTTATCCTCTTCTTTCTCTCTATTTCAGTTCCTCCATTACGTGGATGTTCAATTGACATTCATCCAAATGCTCGATGGCAACAGAATGGTCTCACTGTGGCTGGAGGAAATGGAAAAGGCAATGGAATCAATCAACTCTCAAACCCATTGGGTTTGTATGTTGATGATGAGCAAACAATCTATATCGCTGATCAATACAATCATCGTATTGTGGAATGGAAATCAGGTGCGACGACTGGCCAAGTGGTTGCCGGTGGAAATGGACAAGGAAGTGGGACTCATCAGTTGTCTGACCCATTTGATGTGATTGTCGACAAAGAGAGAGATAGTCTCATCATCTGCGATCGTTCGAATAATAGAGTG